TAGCCCTACCCCTAACCCTAACCCTAACCCTACCCCTAACCCTAACCATACCCCTAACTCTAACCCAACAACCGCATGATGACTACACAACCATTCACGATGCCTCACGCAACCGTACGCAACCCTGCACGCAACCATATGATGACCACGCATCCCTTCACGATGCCTCACGCAACCGTACGCAGCCCTACACGCAACCGTATGATGATAGGTAAGTGTGTCGTTTGTTTCGTTGGCTTTTCCGATCACTGTTTGCAGTGCGGCCAATGGAGAGAACTCTGACTAAGTCGTCCAAGGCTTTTTATTTTTTGTCCGGATTTGACACGACAGCCCATAAGTCTAGCCCTATATGAACAATACGCCCGAAGGCGTGAAAAAGGTTTCTTCACTTATCTTGTTTTGTGCCCACGCGTCGACAGGGGGAAATCTATTTCTTCGTCTCTAAATATTCAGCCAGTTTTGCGAGCTCACACTTTGTCTCAGCTGCTCTCTGTCTCTCTGTCTCTCACTCTCTCTCTCTCTCTCTCTCTCTCTCTCTCTCTCTCTCTCTCTGTGTGTGTGTTCTCTCTCTGTTCTCTCTCTGTCTTTCTTTTGAAACTATCTTTTAATTTTTTTCTTTCTCTCTCTCGGTTGTTCTACTAATTTTCGCTTGTCTTTCTTTCTCTCTCTCTCTCTCTCTCTTCTCTCTCTCTCTCTCTCTCTCTCTCTCTCTCTCTCTCTCTCTCTCTCTGTGTGTGTGTGTTATTCTATTAGTTGACGCCTTCTCTATCTCTTTCGCTCTGTCTCTTGAATTCATTTTTATCCTTTCTTGTTTGCTCTCTCCCTTATCTGACCAAACACACAAGCGTATGCATATATATATATAAACTTCATGATGACTAACTTAAGAATTCACATTCATTTATTGTAGGAGATCTATAACCGCTAAACCAGGAAACACAACGCCTCAGCTTGTAGCTGAAATACTAGGGACATCACCGACTATTCCATCGCTGGTTCCTGGGTTTGAGGGACTCACAGTCCAAGGACAAATCTCACCGATTGAGGTAATATCATATTTACAAGACCATATGCTTATATGTGTATTTATTAACTGTCCTTTAATAGCAGTTTATATAAGATTTTTAAAAAAGAAAGTTTTGGACCTTTTTTTTTCCAAGATTTAATGCGGGTTGGGTATTTAGGCAAGACCAGTATTATTAAGCAAGAAGAACTCCACAAGGGAGCATGCATAGCAGTGGACCACCAATCATCAGTAGAAAGACTCCTTGTCGACGATTGTTTCGGCCCGTTACTTCCTAGATAATCTCTCAAGGTTAGCCGACCTGGTTCATGACGTCAGGCCACGATCTTTCCCTGCTGCACTTTATCGGATGTTCGGACCGGGACAAGACGAAATGGTGGCTTTGCAACAGGTATTGTGAGATTTGATGTTTTATATATATATGTATTGCTTCGATAGCAAATTTGTCGCCTCCCTCCATGACCAGATTCACAAGCTTACGCTTGGATCATCGGACAGATGATAGACTTTGGCAAATGACAGAGAGACATCTCTCTCTCTCTCTCTCTCTCTCTCTCTCTCTCTCTCTCTCTCTCTCTCTCTCTCTCTCTCTCTCTCTGGCAGACATTATTGTTTGACTCTTTGGCTTTAAAGAGATGTAGAAATCTTGTTTGCTAGGGGCTCAGACCAGTCTACTGAGACCCATTCCCCCACGATGTTCCGTTGTCTCCAAAGTCAGCTCGAAGCCTTTTCCTCTGATGTATATTATCAAATCGGCACTGGGTAGGGAATGAGGTTTACATGACACCACCCGCCTTCTACCCACCCCCCCTCCCCCTCCACAGACTCCTCCTGGCACCCATTTAAGGCTTTGTTGAAGTTAAAAAAAAATGACTGCTCTTACAGTCCTTTAGAAAAAGAAAATTAAACACTAAATAGCTTCGTGTGGGTTATGCGACCTCATGGCAGCGGTGGATAGACCCACTGCCACCCTAAAATGCAAGTAAGAGTCAACTCATTAGGGGTTTCTTTAAAGTCTCAGTGCATCTGCCCTATAGGCAAGAAACTAATAGTCTGCATACAAATAGGCAAGACCTGTAATACTAATGTGCACGTAAAACTAAAACTCTGGAACAAGACATAAGTCCAAGTAGAATAACAGACAAAACTTTTGGAGGTGTTGACATCTGGTAAACGCGAAACAGAAGAAACAGAGGTACTTAATTTATAACTTACCCCTGACGTCACGACAACGTCACGGAAGACATTCCCTATAAATTCTAGGGTGTTCTGGTTGTTGCTTCTCGCGATTTATCTAGAACCAAGTTTAGGGTTAGGGTTAGGGTTAGCATTAGAAGACACTAGATGAACACTCAAAAAAGCACCACACAACAGCACACTTCCACCCCTTGAAATAATTGACAGTCAGGTCAGCTGTGGATTTCCCACGGGGATTTCGTGTTTGGGGTACGTTATAAATTAAGAACCGAAAAATAAACATTAAATGCAAAGCGAATAAAATGTAAATGTTTATCTACTAACTACAGTAGAAGCTCGCTTAACGAGCACCTTTCATAACGAGTAATTCGCAAAATGAGCAAAACAAATTGTAAAAGAATGACTTGCTAAACGAGAGACGTTTTGCATAACGAGTGGCGAGGAGAAAGGAAGTCCCGGATTGTGCATATGTTACCTCAATCTGTGTTTAGCCCTCGTTCCAGTAGCATCGTTAGTGTCGCTTGTAATCACACATTTTCTCAAACTTGTGATACATGTACGTGAATCCCCCAGGCCTCCTGAAGAATTTAAGTTCACAAAGATCCAGTTTCGGCCTCCCAACACCACTCTGTTACTCCAGCCCATGGAACAGCATGTTATTTGTAACTTTAAGAAGCTCTACACTATAGCACTCTTCGAGCATTGTTTTCAGGTAACTGAAGGGACCAACCTCATTCTCAAAGAGTTTTGGAATAATCACTCCTCGTCGTTCCTTGTCTCAAGATGATCGACAAGGCGGGGGAAGGGGCTACCATGAGAACCCTAACTTCTACTTGGAAGAAGCTTTGGCCGGAGAGCTTTGTCGATTTGTGACTTTAAGGGGTTCTAGACAGTACCTGTGGAACCCGTAGTCAACGATATTGTGTCTTTGGCCACTATCATGGGATTGGAGGTGGATAACAGTGATATCGAACAGCTTGTGGAAGAGCACAGCCAAGAGCTAACCACAGAAGAGCTTACGAAGCTGCATTGTGTTTCACAGCAACAAGTTTTGGAGGAAAGTTTGTCAGAGGAGGAGGAAGTAACATCAAAGCCACAATCTTCTGGCGAAAAAAAAAAAAAAAAGAAATGCTGAAAGCATGGGAAACTGTTGCATCTTACTTTCAGATGCATCACCCTAATGCGCGTTGCAAATTTATTTAATGATCATGCCCTGTCGCATTTTCGCCAAATTTTGAAGCGTCAGCAAAAACAAATGTCTCTGGACATCCTTCTGGTAAAGAAAATAAATTAGCTGTGTATCATAATTATTTCGACTTTTTGTTTGTTTTATGCAAATCGAATTCGCATTCCGCGTTTAAAGAAAAGATGATTCACTCATCTTAACAATGTGTATTTAATTTTCTTTGAATAAACGTTATACGTAGCATTTTGTGAGTATTTTTTTTTTTCGACATGGAACGCATTATCGTATTTTACATTAATTTGTATGAGAAAGATTGTTTCGCGTAACGAGTGTTTCGCTTAACGAGTATGATTCTGGAACGAATTATGCCCGTTAAGCCAGGTTCTACTGTACAACAGTTTTACAGAAAATTAGCTTATCGGAATGAAATGATCCTCACATTTGAACGTGAATTTAAAAAAAAAAAAATTGATTTTTGAAAATAAATTCCGAAAAGGGAAAGAACCTGTGTATTATTGACGACCAGATTTTTAAGAGCGTGCCTGCATTATGTAGGTTATTTTCCGTACTCTGGTTTAAAGACTATTCTTACTTTGCAGCCAAGGAAAGACAGTATATAATGTCCGAATGTGAATTATGGGCTGTCAGCAAATTAGTACAACGTTATATAAGAGCTACCAAGATTAGCGGCGCTGAAAGCTGAGGGCTAAGGCAATTTGCTCCCCGGCAACCCGAGAAAACATTTAGGGATCAGGGCCTTCAATTTCTAAGGGGTTGGGGTGGGGGAGGGGTGGGTGGTTAAGCTCCCCACCCACCCCACCCTATGTGTTTTTCGTCTCTATAAACTTTTACAAGAACTGAAGCCTCCCAACCCTCACCCCACCATCACCAACACCACTACCTCAACCCCCGCCCCTTCGACCCTTCCCTTTCCTGCTCGCCCCAATATATTTTGCACATCTAGATAATTTTAACGTAACAGTGAATACCACCACCCTTCAACCCCCTCCTTTCCCCAATTATCTTCCCCGTTGCACTAATGTTTTCTTTGTTCAGTGCCCCTGAAAGAGATGTAGTTTCATGACAGAATGGCGAGTTCACATTAACACGTCAAGATGTTAGCTAACAAAGATAACTTACTATCAGCATCAGAAGCAGACAATCCACAGCGGGGATGACATTATAATGGAGGGAAAACAATGGAGTGTCTCATAGCAGCAGTAAAAATGGATGGGTGAGAGAAAGAAAAGTAACATCGTGAGCCTTTTGTTAACATGACACAGAAGAAACTCTTATTAAGAAGTGACTGGCAGGGCACGAGATAGCAGTCTGTAGACATACATAATTACCTCCACTATAAAGTAGGTAAGTGACGTCCGTGGCTTAGGCGTTGCGAGTCCGACTCGTATTTCCAACATACCGCTATTGAAACCCACTGTTGACTGCGTGGATTTTCATCAAGGTAATGGGCGAGTAGCAGGTAGGCCCAGCTTAAAATGTGTGCCAGGATGGCCGTCCTGGGAAAGTAAAGACGGCCGGCGTAATACTGATTACATTACCCGCCTAGTAAGGATGGTCTGTAAAAAATATCGG